GAGAAGATAGTGTGGCTCCAGTAGCCACTGCCTTTTCTTCCATCAGCTTTTTAATGTCTGCCCATGCTTTCAGCCCCATGTCTGTTCTAACTGCCTTTTCCTGGACACATCTCCATTCTGCTCTCTGCAACTCTCAGGCAATAAGCTCCCAGGCCTGATTCCCTTCCCAACCCTGTAGGGAGGTCCCCTACTTCTAGTAGTGGTATAAAGGCCCCTCTTTTTGTCACTCTATAGCCCACTGTTCACACTTCAGAAGAAAGCAGTAAGAGCATCCCTCTGCAGTGTCTCTGAACCAAGCACATCATGGGTTCCCCAAATCCAGTTGCCTTCAAATGACATATTTGTCTCAGATACCAAAACCATTATGCCTGCTCAGCTCTTTCCTACTCGCAGCTACTGCCCAGACTCTGAACAGGAAACATTTGGGGCTTTTGGTTTGGGAATTTTTTTATTATTGGGGTGGAGGGGGAATGTCCTCAGATCAGTGAGCTGGGTTCTCAGTGCGTACCAGAGGCCACGCATGGCATCAGGGCTGCACAGCTGGGAACAGGGGTAAAAAAGGAAGTCTCTCTCCTGCCAGTGGTGGTGAGTTGTTAGATTGGCCCAGCCAATCTCATGACACCACAACCTGGGCTAAGCTTACTCAGTTCTCAGTCTCAGAAAGAAAAGAACAGTAGATTCCCTGCTTAGACAGGTTTATTACAAGCATTACTGAAATTCCTTTTAAGGTTGCCTGCAGCTGCTAAGCAGAAACTGCCAGGAATAGCATATGCTTGTGCCCCTTAAGAGCATCACAGTTTAGTGAATGCTGGTATTAAGTGAAGCACTGTATGTTAACTGGCACACACACACTCTGAACGCTTTTCTGTCTTACACCTACTTCAAACTAAAGCATATTTTCTGATACCCACATCCAAGCTCTGTGAATAAACAGTGTTTTTCTTAGCCATATTTGCTGCAATGAGATTTGGTTTTGTTCAGTGGATTTGCATTTAAGAATTACTCTTCCGATTAATCAGTCCTTTGCATATTTTACACAAGGAAAACTAAATATACAGTAAAATAGTATGTGCATAAAAACCACACAAAAATTCGTAAACTGCTACCATTCAATTCACTTCTCTTTACTATATCACTAGCTAATCAACCACAGCAGTATTTGTGGAGGAGATCACTTCCTTTCTAGGCCTTAGAGATGCAGGGTTTCCCTCTGCAGAAGAGGATTTCCAAAGAAAAATATCAGAAACCAGAGCATACTTGCAGACCCAGGAGACAGCAGAGAATAAAGCAAATTTTCCTTCCCCCAACATCCACACAGACCTTGAAATTACCATTCCATATGCACTAAAAAATGTCTGTATGCGACATTACATTACACACACCTCTGCATTCATTTCAAAGCCCCTGGTGTTTAAGAGAAGGCAACTGCCTAAGCAGAAATCTTTCCAGAATTCAATTTGTATTCTGTATCTAGCTTAAAAATTATAGCTCCAAAGTACAAACCCCTCATCGACACAAATGTGGGAAAAACCTTCTAGTTCTGAGGTATGCTGTCAGTAATATTCATATTGAAAAATGCAAATGGACAGTCTATTTCAATTCTGCAGAAAGCCTACAAAAAACCTGAGCACTGACCCTAAGAAAATTATAACTTTTCTCTGCTACCTTTAAGGTTTTAGCAAATGTTGCAATAGCCATTATCTAAATCAGGGCTACAGCTACACTACTGTATCACAGAATAGTCTGAAATTTGACATTTGCATGGCTATATAAGAAAGAATTCAGTTTCCAGTTTAAATACTCAGCAAACTGCTTCAAAATAGAGCATCTAATTAGGATCTCTGGCCTCTCTACCTCTTGTTTCTGAAGATCTGTAGAGATGTCCTATATTAAAGGTTATCAACCTTTCCTTCTCCTCATGGACCAAGAGTATGGACAACAGCCTTAAAAGGAAAATATAAGATGAAGGGTCACAGGCCTCATAGTAATTCCGCAAAAGCAATCATCCTAAGCCAAAACCAAAACAAAACAAAACCCAACCAAAACACAAACAAGAAAAACCACCTTCATAAGGAACTCTTCATGAGGGACTGCAGCAACAGGACAGGGGTAATGGGTTTAAGCTTAAACAGGGGAAGCTCAGGTTAGATACAAGGAAGAAGTTCTTTACTGTGAGGGTGGTGAGACACTGGAATAGGTTGCCTAAAGAAGCGGTAAATGTTCCACCCCTGCCAGTGTTCAAGATGAGGTTGCACAGAGCCTTGGGTGTCATGGTCGAATGGGAGGCATCCCTGCCCACAGCAATGGGTTTGGAACTAGATGATATAAAGGTCCTTTCCAAACCTAACCATTCTATAAATTAACTAAACCCTGATACAAATCAAGGAATCTCATTAGTTCAAATTTCAGTGTATTCTTCCTACAGCAGCATGTGGTCTAAATAGTCAAATAACTGTCATTAAAGAGCTGCTGAAAGTATAGAATATCTATTTAACTTGTAATGGCTTGTTATGGTTGGGATTTAAGGGTTATTCACACATTCACAATGGTCAGTGTCAACTTACTTCCTTTCAATAACTTAGTTATTCCTATAATTCATGTTCCAAAGCTGTGGAATGCTATTACTGTATGCATCAACATCAAAAAAGCTACTGAGAAAGTAAGGCTAAGAAACACACGTTAGCATATGACTACAGCTTAAATGATTAACATAGGCAAAAAGTCTCTGAGGGGACCTAACTAAAAACATGCATTTGTACTATGACAGATGAAGTAGAGCTTCATCTACAATGAAACAGAAAGTCAGTGTGTGATTATTTGTTTCACATAGTTGATCTGCCCATTTCATTAAACCTCTGAGCACATGCATCAGCCCAAACTGGTTATTACACATCCACCTCCTTTGGAAGCTAAAAATATTGTTATTCCCACATGAATATGAATCTCAATTGCATCTCTGATTCATAGTGTTTCCAAGCTCAGTGAGAATAATCACTTTACATTTGCCATCACAGACCTATTAATAGCACACTGAAAGTCAAAGCACTGAGTTCCCTGCTGCAATCTCATGTTCAATGGAGCAAATCCCATTAAGCTGAATCTTAATGGGACACAGAGCAGAAAAACTACAGCTAAGTGAAAGAACAAGCAGAAAGTATAGCTAACTACACAAGAAAAAAGCAAGTCAGACGCAGTAATATTGAGATTTCTGTAGCTTTTAAATTAAGCTTTAGAGTGCTTACAAGTAATGACGTACCACTTTTAGCCTAAGTAAGGCTAAAAAGGCAAGTAAAGGCAAGACTTAAAGGATGTGACAATAAGCAAGGAGTATAGAAAAGTTTCACATCTCACAGCTAGAAGAGATCATAGCCCACAGGTTTAGACCAGTCCAGGTAAACACAGAGAACAAAATTATGCTACATGTTACATCTAGTCTGTTTACTACATGCTTTCCTGATTAATATTCATGTAGTTTTATACTAGTGATTAGTTTATAAAGGAAGTGTCTGAGGTAGTATAACTCTATTCATGCTGAACTTTCCACCTGCTGCTAATACTGAAGCCATTGGTCTTTTGCAGCTTCAGACATGAAGCTTAAGTAAGCTTGAGTCACTCATTATTTTTTCTTAGGAACAATACAGATTTCCAGTAGATAGATCCTTCTCTTCCAACGGAGTTTTTAAAAAAGTACTCTTGATTTGAATTTCTTATAATACATAATTATACTGTACAATATTGTATTTGCTGCAATACATACTTAAGCTGTCCACAAAAGTTTGTTGTTTTTTTTTAATAGTCATTGTTACAACTTTATTTTCCTGGGGACTTCAACCGATCTCTAAAGGATCCTTGGTCATGACTAGGAGTAAGTGCCATGGCTTCTCCAGAGCAAATAAAGGATTAAGATACACTGAACTTCAGGTATCTGTTAAGAATTTCATTCAGCAAATTTTGTTTGCACACCAGCACTAGAAATAATGTATTTGAAAAAGGCATATTTTGTTGGATAGTTTTAGCCATAAAAGCCTAATGAAGTGGATTGCATGGAGGTACTCTTGTTCTCCCACAGGAAGCAGAAATGCCATCTGTGCAAGAGCTTTCTGCAAGCCACTGCTTCGTGCATCACATGGTCTTTACTGGTTTAGTAGTGAAATTGGCAGTGCTAGGTTAGCAGTTGGACTTCAGGATCTTAAAGGTCTTTTCCAACCTAAACGATTCTATGATTTTGCAGCTATGTTGTGGATAGTTTTACCATGCTAAGACAACAGCATCTCTACACTTCTTGTCACTCATTTTTAGTCACAAAGTTGCTATGTTCAACACACAGGCAAAAAGCACTTTCTAATTGCACTGTGGAAAATTATTTGCACAAGAAATACAAAATTGAGCTTAAAGAAAAACGTAATTTGCAAGCTTGGTGGGAAGGTACATCATTACTGCATTGCCACATGACCATTTTTTCCTTACGTTTTTAATATGCATTTTCATGTCACTTGGCACGTTTCACACCATTGCTCAGAATAACATATTTGGGGAAAATAAAACCTACCTTATCACACATTCTTAGCCACAAAAAGCAATGAACTGTATTGCATGTCAGTATTTCTACTATCCCAGGGAAAGACTTCATTATAGGTCTTTGCTGTGTCTCCTGTATTTGGCTGTTACATTGACGACAGTAAAAAGACTCCCTCTCTAGGATACACTGAGTTCCTGAGTACCTCACCTGGTACCACAGACCACAGACACATTACTACACCCTCAGCTTCGCTCAGTACACACACCAAACTGCATCTTACAGAAGCAGTCGTGACCATCAGGATCAACACCCAAACGCCGCTCCCTCGGACTAGCAGCCCCAGGTGAGCCCATGCACTCCCTGACTCCCTAATGGAATGTTCCATTCGCGACAGGTAGGCTAAACCAGCAGATGGGACGCTCCACCGCAGAACGAAAGCGGGGAACACGGAAGAGACCGCGCAGCTGGAAAAACCCGCCCTCCGCCGCGGCCATGAAGGGGGCGTAACTTCCGGGCGCCGAGTTCGAAACGAACAGACAGAGGCAGCCTCTCCCACCATGACCCAATCGGTGGTGGTGCAGGGTAAGGGATCACGGCACCCAGAGCCCATTATCTCCTTCCCCAGCCCTTACCTGACACTCGTCTTTCCCCTTTGCAGTGGGCCAGTGCGGGAACCAGGTGGGTTGCCGCTTCTGGGACCTGGCGCTGAGGGAGCACGCCAACGTCAACAAGGTAACGGCGTCGCTGCCCCGCGTTTCCGGCCGACGCTGGGCTGAGGGGAGCGGTTCTGTTGGCGGGGTTGAGCTGTCTTCCCTGCTTCCTGCGGGTTCTTAAGCCTTTTAACTAATTACTTCTTAATTCAGATCAGCTTCTCTAGCCTTACCACCTTGAAAAGCCTATGACGTTTCTCTGCAGGCAGACGTTACCAGATTTGAAGCAGTTAGTGAAAACAGAGGGTTGTTTAATGGAAGTCTTTTGCCACTTGGCAGTAAAGCAAAAAAGCAGCTCACCAAAGCCCAATTTTGGTTTTTTTTCTATGTTAATGTAATCTGTGCAGTGACTTGCTGTACAGTTGTGCTGACCACAATAGCATCATAAGGATGGCCCGGGATTGTTGTGAGTACCCCAAACACAAATGCACTCTTCCTGCTATGACTATAAATATACTACTTCCTGGTAAACACTATGTTTTAGCTGGTAACAGTGAGCAGTCTTTTTCAATACCTTCCGTTGAAGCAGCTGCAAAAAGCAGTGGATGAAGATCATATGCATAGGCAGACTATCTTGATTTTACTGTTGTAGGGAACAGTCACTTCCAAATTCTGCTTCATCATGTCTTTAGAAGTATGGTAACCAGTCTGTAAAATGATAGTTCTTAAACTTGCCAGGTCTGTTTAGTTTTATGGTGGGGTAAGTAATTTCCATACCACCACTTAGCAGGGAGTTTAGGAATCACTGATATAGTGTGATATGCTTTCCTTTCCACAGGACTTGATGGACAGTGGTGGCATCCTGGACATGGAGCCCATGATGAACTGAGTCCTCTAAACAGCAGCTATGCAAATTAATTGCATCGGGATTGTCAGTAGAATTCTAAATTTTTGAAATTAAGGAAGAGTAGTTGTTTTATCTTGTGCTGAAAAATATCCTAGTTAATCTTAATTTCCTAGTTACATCTTCTTGAGAGTTTTAATATCAAGCTCATGCTTCAATGAAGTGATCTTTTTAGAGCTGACTAGTGCTTGTTGAATTCAATCTAGATGTTTAGTCTGTTTTGAGTGGGGAGGTTTTGCAGGTGACATTCAGAGTTCCCTTCCAAATTAAGTTATTCTGTGAAAAAATGCTGAGAATTTCTGATGCATTGTCTTCTGTTGTGTTGTTTCCTTTTAGAAAGGAATTTATGATGAAGCATTAAGCAGTTTCTTTAGGAATGTAGATACAAGGTAAGTCATCAAGCAGCTCACAGTTTTAATACAGAAAATCAACAATTCTAGTATCTTCTTTTAACATAAGCTATAGTTTTGTTTCAAGTCATATTTTGTTCTAGAAGAGGATTTAACTTTTTTGTACTCTCCTCAAAACACTATCTTTACCTTTCCATTTTAACTATATTTACTTCAGAAAGGTGTTGAAAGGGTTTGTCTTCCTTTCTTGCTGTCCCAAAAGTGGACAGTCAGAATGTGATAGCTTTTGCCATTGCAAATCAAGATCACACTGCAAGCCCTCTGAATACCTATTTAGCATAATTTCTTGAAGAGCTACAGGAGGAATTGTATGTAAGGCAGTCATAAAAGGTCATGTCATTTTTCAGATCTCTTTTATCTGACTAGTTTGTTACACAAAGAGTGGTGGCTGTGATGTTTGGTTTTTTTTTAAGGTTAACCAATATGTACTGTAAGAGCATTCAGTCATCTCTCATCTGACCAGTTACAAAAATCCATGCAGTTTGCAAGAATGAAACAGTTGTGCATTTGGATATTGTTGTTTCATTTTAATTAATTAAAACACATTTGACCAGCCTCTGTTTTCTTCTATCATGTAGCAAAGTTGCAGTACAACATGCAAGTGTAACTAACGTGGCATTGTAATACTTACTGTTTTGTATCAAATTTTACCTCTGAAAGAACATGCAGGTGCATTGGAGTTTATAGTTGCCATTCCTTGTGGGCATTTCCTAGAGGATTTTTTTTTTTTTAACCCCATGAAAATTTGGTTGTAAACAACATCTGTTGTATGTGCCAGATGAAACCACCAAGTTTACAGTTGAAAGGTTGGATGCAATAGAATCATCTGTTCTCTGTCTGTAAAATGGAAAAACTTGTATCATTGAATAGCATAGGAGTTTTAAGGAAGATTCGCCTACTTGTGAAAAAGAAGAATGATTATTCAAATCTCGTCATTTCCAAGAGTCTATTCATTTTCCTGTTGAAGCAATTCCGCTTTTAACTGTAGCCTTGAACCATAATTTAATTACAGAGTCATTTCAAACTCTCTTACTCAGTCTCTGAGGCTTTTTCCTTTTGTTATTGTTGTGGGTTTAGTATTCTCTTTATCAGAAAGAAGTAATTCACCTCCCAGGCTATTGTGAGCATAAAATCCTATGTTGTAAAATTGGCAAACTTCAGTTTTCTATGCTATGGTCATACCACTGTTTAAAATAATTAATCCAGGCAGGTTATCCTGTCAGAAGCAGCTATGAGCAAAACTCTGGTAGAACCAGGCAGACTTTTTTCTGTTATGGTTACTATTAACCTGTGTAACATTAGAAATATGTTTATGTATGTGTATGGTTTTATATGCAGAAATATATATAAAGTCTTGAGCTTAAGGAATTCTAGAGAGCACAGGGATTACTTTCAGCAGGTGAATAAAACTGATTCAGAATGACTGAAAGTATGGGCTAGACCACAAAGATGATAATAAGAGAAAGCAGTGCTGAATTGGGCTGTTTGGTTTTGGTTTTGGTTTTTTTCTTTGAATTTCGTTAGAGCCTGAGAATTTCCTTGGCTGGATTTACTGGTGCTAGTGGACTCGTGGGGAATAGTGTAGGCTAATTGAATCATGTGTACTGGAACTGTTGTGAGCTGCTCAGCTAATGAGAGATACCTGGATTGCTTCTTTGAGTGAGAAGGTGGAAGATCCTTGAGGAACCCAGTGCATCCCCATACTCTTTAGTTCTGATGGGACTGAGCATGGTCAGAACATTTGGCTTTGTTGTGAATTTTAACTTATGATTTTGGAATATTATTGTGGTTGAATGTAGAATACATGAAACAAAGAAGAAATGAAGAATACTTTAAATTTTGGCTTGATCAGCCACCAGGTATGGTAAATAAATGAGGGGGAAATTAGATCCATTTTCTAGTATCCCGGCCTTTTTGCCCCTGTGTTAAATATAGTTTGGCCAGACGGAAGTACCTCATCCTTTGAGTGCATAAGCACTACCATTCTTTGTGGAAAAAATGTGATTGTACACAATGCATAGTCCCCTGGGCTGGCTCACTACAACTCATCCTGGAAAAAAAGGAAAATTAAGCTGTGTCAACCCAGCATGATTTCTGAACTGGTAAATCTTAATGGCAAAGTCAGTCAAACACAGTTCCCTGCTAGTGCAGTTACGCAGCCTTCACAGCCTGAGCAGTAAATAGTGCACTGCTGCACTACCCCCATTGAAAAGCCAGTGGTGCTACTTGGTATGCTGTGTTCCATTAGATGATGCAGGTATACATATTACATGCAAGAGGAAAAATAATCCTTTCAAGTTTTGGCAATGCCTGTAGAATTGCCACAGAGCAGAGGCTGAATCTGAGGGTAAATTTTCCATGCTGATATTTTCAGCTTCCTGAAGTACTGCTTAGGATATTTCTCATAGAGATCATATCCTGTCATTGCACTGCTTTAAGGAATTAAGAGGTCTTTCTTGGCATCATTTTGGGGGTGTTTTTGTTTACATTGTGACAGTCTTCTGAACACAAAAGATTAAGGAGAAAATTTTATTCTAATATACATATTGGCTTATTTCCTATTATGATTCTAAGCTTGGTGTTTTGTTTGGCATTATTTTTCTTCCAGAAGTGGTGGTGATGGTCCCGATATTTACAAAGGAAAAATCTGCTCTTTAAAAGCACGAGTAAGGCAATCTATAAAAGTCACTCTTTTTACACTGCGTATTTGCTTCCAGCTATGTAGGAATTTTCATAATTGCATATGGTTTTTAATACTACTTTGAAGAGTAACATTTAGGATAATATCTTTTGTGGTACAGTGGAGTAATGAAGTTTTCTGCTAGTCTTCATGAGTAAATCATAATTTCAATAAAATGATTGTAGATATTACCAGCAAAGTTTTTATTTTCCTTTTCTAAGGAGTGGGTTTCTCTGAGCCACTGTAAGTGTCTGAGAAGCAAGAAAACCTGAAACAGAAAAATGCTTTACTTTTTTTAATTTCTAACTATTGGGGCAAAGTGTTATGAAATTTTAACAATTACCCAAAACGTTGTCCTCTTGAACGACTTCTGGCAAGTCAGCCAGGGTGAATCTAGCTTGTCTTCTAGTTAACAACTAAAAAAAATGTTTCTCTTAAGCAGACTAAAAACAACATGCCTTTTATATTGTAAATAATTTTATGTTTCTTTGTGTGATTATTTCAAGGGTGGTTTGCTTACTGTCAATTTTAATTCTTCCTTTTCTCAAAGGCACTGTTGATTGACATGGAGGAGGGCGTGGTAAATGAAATTCTGCAGGGACCATTGAGGGACGTGTTTGACAGCAAACAGCTTATCACAGATGTTTCTGGGTCAGGAAACAACTGGTGAGAACCTTTTCAGAAGCATTTCTTAGCAACTAATTAGATGGCATTTGAAAAGGGAAAGGATAACAGTAGCTTTTTGGTTTGTTCTGCACCTGGGGAGCTGTAGCATATTACCAGTAAACTTTGGAGTCACTGTTGCCTGGAGGAGGGCTTTGAAAACCCTTTTACAGAAGGATAATTATGTTGATAGATCATTTTATCTATTTTCTGGGTTTTTTTCTTCTTTTTTTTGATTTTCTTTTTCAAGAGAACGTGCTTTTAATTTTTGTTTCTTTGGTATTCAGCTGCTTTCATTACTTAGTTGAAACCATAATCTAGTTTGACACTGTACAACTAGTATGGAAATGAGATATATGAACAAATACGCTTCTGATTTCTAAGCACCACAGAGTCTGGCTTTGTGCATATAAATTACATGACCAAAAAGAGAAATTCAAGAAAAGATTGATTAAGATAATGAATTCCAAATTTTCACTGAGACCTTGATGTGCCTCTAATAACACTCAGTGCACTACAGACTGGAAAGCAAATCATCAGCAAATGTACCAAGAGAGAGTGCAATACAGAGAATAAAGCATCCTGTCACTTCACCACCTCACAGGCAAGTGTGCTGAAAAGGAGCTGTTAAGGAAGGGATTTTATTGCTGGTAGCAACTCAGTGCTCAAAGAGACGTCACTATACACATTACATAGGGATATCCTTATTGTTAAGTTGTGTATAACTTTGGTTTCATATTATAATTTCATCATCCAATGTGTGAGTTTATTTTCTTAACAGTACAAAATAATACTGCAGACTCCAAAGCTGTGAATTTACTGCTGCTTGCATCCTCAAAATTAAACCCATATCCTGACTTCTGTATTTACATGATTTAGCCCCAGTTTAGCAACTTGCAGAAATCAAGTGTTGCGCCCAGCTCTGGACTCTGAACTCTAAAATGACAACTAGGAGGAGTTAAAATTAAAAATTGAAAGATTTATTGATGGATTTATTTTTCTTTTAAAGTACTTTTTATGTCCTCAGGGCTGTAGGTCATAAGCTTTATGGCTGTCAGTATCGGGAAAACATTGTGGAAAAGCTGAGGAAAGCTGCAGAACACTGTGAATGCCTGCAGTGTTTTTTTATAATTCATTCAATGGGAGGTGGTAAGTAATTTTTTTTTTATCATTAATGTAATTACACCAGCCACAGATGGAAAAAGAAAAACCTGGATCTTGAACAGATGAGTATAGTAGTCTGTCATTCAGCATGCAGAAGAAAAAAATTAGCACTGTCCAATTAAGTAGACATGTCATTATTACTTGGTTTGTTAGAGCACTGAGGAGCCCAAATCATGAGCTAAGGTAAGTGCTATACAGAACAAAAAATACAACTAAAATTTTAAACACAAGGAAATGAGTGGATCAAGACAGGTACCAAACAAGGAAATACTGAGGTATTACTGATCAGAGGAAGGGACAGTAGCCTTGGAACACTGACATTGTTGTAACGAAGATGTTTTTAATGGTGGGAGTTTTCTAAAACACTTTGAAAGAGTCTTCTAATGTTGTTTAATATTAGAAAAACTTCACTTTTCTGTGGAAAGAAACTCTCTTGCAACCAGTCTAGCTACTTTGTTAATAAATCAGAAGGGAGGAATCCCTTATAGTGACAATTTAGTCATTAATGTATTGCCACTAAGCCTTTCTGCCCCAGAAACATGGGGGGAGCCTGTATTATAACTGGTTATGATGTGGAAAAAAGAACAGAAAATCGCTTTAAATATGAAGCAAGCACCTTTTTTTGTGGCAATTTCCTTGAGAGACCCTGCAGATCTTCTGTTATTGCAGAAACTTGCTTTCTTGTTCATTGATGAAATTGTCTGCTGCTGAGAATGTTAGCTGTCCAAGACAGAAAAACTACTGTTCAGGTCTCTGATTTGAACTCAGTGCCATGTGTTACTGAGGAAAAAAGGTGTGCTGGGGTAAAGAGGTGGTTCTGTTGTGATTGGAGAGTGAGAAAACTTTATAAAGAAACCCCAAAAGGAAAGTAAAGAATTGTTTGGGGCAGTTCAAGGTTTTTAATGTTTTATTTAAAAATTCAAATTAAAGATCTTAAAATAAGAAATAAAAATACTAGGTCAGAAAAACTGTTGGTTACATAGGGCCTTCTGGTTTGCAGAAATCTGAGATTGTATACTTCATCCTTCTGGTATACTGTAGGAAATACTTTTACCATTTAATTACTTTCCTGTCTGAGAAAAACCTTTGTTTGAGCCTCCATTGTCAGCCAAATGCTTCAGAAAATACTCATTAATATGTATTACTGAAAAGTTGTAAAAGTTTCCAACGCAAGACTGAAGGCTTAAGGTAACATGGGGAACCTTTTACCTTCTCTTGTTCTGTCTTCATTCATAATTAGGGACAGGATCTGGTCTTGGAACTTTTGTGCTAAAGTTGCTTGAGGATGAATTCCCAGAAGTATATAGATTTGTTACTTCAGTTTATCCCTCTGGTGAGGATGACGTTATTACTTCTCCATATAACAGTGTTCTGGCTATGAAGGAGCTTAATGAACATGCAGACTGTGTGCTACCAATAGAGAATGAAGTAAGATAATATTCTATTTCTATCAATGTCTTTTTTTATTGGACTGCATGTAGAAAGTATTTCTTCCTTCTGTGTATTGAGTACCATGTCATAAAAGGAATAACTTCATTTTTTTTAAAGTAGTAATTGAAACCCTAACTCATTCACAGGATTTTGAAATTAACAATTGTATCACTAAAAAATTGCTCTTTACCTTCAAAATAGAGTGAATTTTCTCATGTCTATTTCAAGGTAAGCAGTGAAAAGCCTCTATTTACAGAGGCTGAGAGTCTTACAATCTTTTAGCAATCAATTTTTTGCATAGTATTAGTGGAGTCCTGCAAGGAAAATGATTCATCACTCCAAATTCCAACAGACTTGACTGACTAGTGGTGTAAGCATCATAGGCATACCTGACTGCACAAACCACTAGACTCATTTGTATCTAACTTCAATGACTCGTTTGCTTATGGAATAGGCAAGAGAAAGGAAAATATATTTAGGGAATATATTTTTCACAAGAATTATGAAAATTTAAAATGGAATTTTAGAAGATGAGGATTTTGAATAGTTGAATAAAATTCAAACTTCTGAGTCAAGCTGTATAGATGTTTGACATGTAAGGAACAAACTTTTAGAAACACATTAATCAGTTGGAACTGATCAAAAGTTGAACTTAAATATACCAAAGGTATGGTAATCTTTGAACTGACAGAACTGTGTCTTAGCTTTCTCTTTAAAACTAATTGAAATTAAAAATTGGAGTACTGAATTTGAAAGCTTTATGCTGAAGACTTCTTGTGTGCTTTTTTCTCTCTCAAAGTCTCTGTTTGATATAGTTAATAAAATTCATCAGATGGCAAATTCTGGGAAGCTGGGGTCAACTGTGAAGCAAAACAGCTTGGTAACATCAAGCGCAGGGACTGCAAAAACTGTACAAGAAAAGCCATTTGATGCAATGAATAACATTCTCGCCAACTTGCTGCTGAACCTAACAAGGTAAAGTTATAGCTTATTCCTCTGTAAAAGTATTATTTCTGGAGGCCATGTGTGCTGCAAATCAACTCAAAGAATACTAGTTGTTTACCATTTGATACGTCTTCTCTTTTTAAGAATTAATAAATGTTTAAGTATTCAAAAGTAATCACATTGCAGTGGTCTTGCCCTACCTGTGGTAGTCTTAGAACTGAAGTAAAGAAGGCTTAAATGCAGAAGGATACTGTCTTCCATTAATACTTAACAAAGCCTAGGGAAATTTGGCTTTCTAGGCCAGTTGTATTATTTTATAAATACTGTCAGATCACTGTTGCTCCTACACTGGCTATTGCTGCAAGAAACTCGTGGTGAAATGCACTACTAAAACTGGTGTTGGGCAGCTATGGCCACACACTGAAAAACAGTGCTAAAAACTGCAATCAGGAAACAAGGTCTCAATCTTGATGATTTATTGTTCTGTCATGAGAAGTGTAAATAAGTCATAGCACTGCTAACTGCCAAATGTGAAAGCTTAGTACATGAACAGTTTATTGAATGCTGTGTTGTTCAACTGTTGTATAGAACAGTTGAAAACACAGATGTAATGAATGCTCACATTCTAAAAGTAATTCCCTTAGTTTTCAATAATTTCATAACAGTCTGTTAATTTTTCAGCTCTGCTAGGTTTGAAGGTTCCCTTAACATGGATCTTAATGAAATCAGCATGAATTTGGTTCCATTTCCTCGACTTCATTACTTGGTTTCAAGCTTGACTCCTCTGTATACATTGGCTGATGTTAATGTACCTTCTAGAAGGTAAGAAAAAAAAAATCTGTAGTGAAACTAAGGAAGGTTAGAAGTTCTAAGTTTTAAATCTACCTCATTTTCAAATCAGTCCTGCTAATTTTAGGAACATCCTTTGTCCCTTTTCTTTATAATGGCTGAGCCAGTAAACCTGAAATCTGTTTTTGTTATCTCTGCTGGGAAGTGTTTCTGTTGGAAAATGTATTACTCAAAAGACTTTGTGATGTGGGTTCTAAGTAGCAGTCTGCACCTGACTCACAAAATCCTGTGAAGACAAATAAGCAATTAAACTAGACTACTTGGGAAGTAATGGCACCCTACTTCAGTCTGGAGATGCAGTGTGGCCATTTAACAGCTCATTGTAACGCTAACCTGACACTTGTCGCATTTTGTGATTTTATATATGCCACTGACATGACAGAAAAATAACCAGTTAAAATAGATTTTATTTGGTTTAGGGAATTAAATTCAGTCAGCAAAAGGTCCAAATAGTGACAGGCAGCTGGGGTAAGTGGTGGAAGTATGCAAAGTGAAGAAGAGGGCAGGACCACTCCTTTTCTGTGATAACAGGTTGTGACAATCAATTTGGTCTCTTGAAACCATACTCTTGAGGAGACAATGCAGTGCTGCAGGGAAGGTAGCAGGCTACATGGAGGTCCTCAGTCAATCATGTGTTAGGGTGAGGTGGAGTTATTTTTAATAGGAAGGTTCTGGCAGGGGTCATTTTAAAGAAATAGAGGTGGTGGATGCAGAGAATATGGAACAAATGGAAAGAGTAACTTGGATATCAGTTAAAATGAATGCAGTTGTAGAATTCATTGATCCTTTTAAATAATGATGTATAGCAGTTCTGTCAGGATCAGCAGCACTTTGGTGTTTCTTGTGAGATACTTCACAAGCAGTGAGATTGTCTACTTAAAATTTTCATATAACCAGAGCCTGAAATAGTTACGTCCCTTTACATATTTTCAATACTTTGTAACCATTGACCAAAAACTGCCATAATAAAGATCTTAGTCTGTCCACTTCTCTGGCTTTCTGACTTTGGACTGAATGGTGGCTTGTAACATGAGGGAGAAGAGTGGGGAAGATGGATCTGGTGTGTTTTTAAAAATTATATTGCCAATGTATGTGCATAAAAGGGTTTGAATCTTTTTCCTGTCATTCATGGTCCCAGGTTAAATGTATCTTTATCTCTAGAATTTTATGAACTTTTAAATCCTGAAGGGAGGGCATTCTGAAGAACTCTTGTACCCAGTTTAGTAAGAGTACATAAATGTTTTCTTTTCACCTAGGTTGGACCAGATGTTTTCAGATGCTTTCAGCAGAGATCATCAACTAATTCAAGCAGATCCAAAGCACAGCCTCTACCTTGCCTGTGCACTTCTTGTTCGAGGAAATGTGCAGGTTTCAGACCTTCGCAGGAATATTGAAAGGTTTGTAATACCACAGAAAGTAGTCATGGGTTTGGTTTTGAAGCTGCTGTCAGTTGTCCAGAACATTCTTAATTTTCATTTTAAGAATTTCAATACTGTCATGGTTTAAGCCCAGTCGCCAACTCAGCCATGCAGCCCTCGCTCACTCCCCCACCTTCCTTCCCCTGCTCCCTGAGGGATGGGGAGGAGAATCGAAAGAATGTAACTCCCATGGGTTGAGATAAGAACAGTCCAGTAACTAAGGTATAACACAAACCACTGCTGCTACCACCAATAATAATAATAATGATAAGGGAAATAACAAGGGAAGAGAATACAACCGCTCAGCACCTGCCAACCGATACCCAGCCCGATGCAGTGATCTACCCCTTCCGGGTAACTCCCCCTCTTCATATAGTGGACATAACATGCTGTGGTATGGAATACTTCTTTGGCTAGTCTGGGTCGGGTGTCCTGTCTCTGCTTCCTCCTGGCTTCCCCTCCTCCCTGGCAGAGCGTGAGATTCACAAAGTCCTTGGTCAGACTAAACATTACTGAGCAGCAACTGAAAACATTGGTGTTATCAGCGCTGGTCCCAGGCTGAAAGTCAAAAACACAGCACTGCACCAGCTACTACGAAGGAGGAAAATGACTGCTACTGCTGAACCCAGGACAAATACAAAATTAGTTTACTCGGAAATAGTTTTCTTATTTTCAGAAGGCAAGAAACTGTAATTCACATAATGAGTTAGAATAAGTCACAGTGTTCTTGGATTTACAAATAAAGGGAGCTGACTAGATGTCCCTGTGCTTTTCCTTTCTCAAAAATGAAAAAGAAAGCAAAGCTCAACCTTCCAGAGGTCTCCTGCAAGTAAAATATTTGAAGAGTAAGTTCCGTAGTGGAAGTTTGCTTTTACTGAACAGAAGGCCCCTCTGTGTCATTGATACTTTCATCATCAGGAATCATTCTTGTGTTAACAACTGTAGTTAGCACTCTGCTTCTACGTTTTACACTATTGATCTACATAGTTATAAAAGGAAAGGCAGGGGGAAGCTTTGCATACAGAATGGAGTTTACAGGCAAACAGGTACATGGGGAAAATTTCTGAGAATATAAAGCATTTTACCTATTTCTAAACTACATGTGGACTGATTGTCCCTACACAATATTAATCTCCCCCTCTTGTATGTCTCAGATTGCTTGCAGTCCCTTTTATTGAAATAGATGTTTGTAACTTTATTTTTCAAACCCTGATATGTTAAATTAACAAAATTGGTGTTTGTAATTTAAATTTAAAACGGACACTGTTTTAGTCTGAAGTCTAAAATGTTGTGTTTAAAATGATAGTTACAACTAGCTTGGTTAGTTCGGAAAGTTTAAGTGTTAACCTTTTCAGACTGTTAGCAAAGGAAACTTGTTTGTGCTCTTTACATTCCTTAGTTATCTACATTTTTGTATTGCAGGTTGAAGCCTTCCCTGCACTTTGTCTCCTGGAATCAAGAGGGCTGGAAAACTGGTTTGTGTTCAGTACCTCCTGTGGGCCATTCCCATTCTCTTCTGGCTTTAGCAAACAACACCTGTGTAAAACCAACTTTCATTGAACTCAAAGACAGATTTATGAAGCTGTACAAGAAAAAGGTACAACTCATCATTATAACATCTGTAGCCACTAACCATGAGTATCTTGCTTTATTGAAGCAAATCTTAGTATCACCAAGGAGCTGCTTAAAAGTGACAGCCCAAGATTTTTGTTTGTTACCTCTCAAGAAATCATTCCAAAGGCTGCTGCTCAAAAAGTGTAACCTCCTTATTGATCTGTACCTACCAGGCTATATACTTACTTTCCTCAGCAGTGAGTCAGTATCTCACGGATCTGCCTACCAGCTTGTGGTGGATTGACTTGCTGCAGGTGCCTACCAAGCTGTTCTCTTCAGCAGGACAGGGGGAGAAAGTATGGATGAAAAGCTTGAGTCAAGATAAGGATAGGGAGATCACTCACCAGTTTGTCATGGGCAAAACAGATCTGTCTTTGGGAATATTAATTTATTGCCAATTAATAACAGACTAGGATAGTAAGAAATGAATGAAAACTGAGAACATCTTCACACCACTCCATGCCCTTCTTCCCAGCCTCAGTTTCACTCTTGCTCCTTCCTCCCTGATCTTTGTGTCTGCAGGGCTGTTTCTCACATTTTTCTAACTGCTCTCTCTCACAGCTGTTGTGCACCATTTTTTACCCCTCCTTAAATACATTATCACAGAGGCAGTATCAGCATTGCTGCTGGGTTCAGCTTTGGTCAGTGGCACATCCATATTGGAGCCAGCTGGATCTATCTCTGTCTCACATGGGGGCAGATCCTGGTTATTTTCTCACAAAAGCCACCCTCCCCTGCAGCCCTGCACTCCCCCTCACTACTAAAACCTGGCCACATAAAACCAATACACAGTTTGGTCAGGCGAACCCAAAAACACAATATGAAAAGATGGACATATAAAAAATCAGTAACATTGACTGTGATTTCGTAGAGGATTATTACTGAAGTTGCTAAGTATTTAAACGAGTCTTTAAATCTATGTCCTACAGTGCTTGCACTCCTCTTCAGTGTGGGCTAAATTAGACTTACTGAGCGAAAAGGATTGGGTGCCAAGAAAAAGGAGAAAACTGATTTTTTATTATTATTTATTTATTTATTCTCATAGGCTCACCTTCACCATTATCTGCATGTAGATGGGATGGAACAAAACTGTTTTTCTGAAGCCATATCATCTTTGTCTGATCTAATAGAAGAGTACAATGAACTGGATGCCACAAAAGGTGGGCCTAGAACAGATCCATCAAGACTGAAGATAGTCGTCTGAAGAAGGAAGGACTGATTTAAAGAAAAAAGAAATCCCCCAAGCATCCAACCTTTGAAGCATGGAATTGAAGCATGTCAAGCTATTGTAATTCTAAAGTGAGACTGGAACAATGGCTTCCTTGGCTCTGAGAGGCATCACGTTAAGTGACAGGCCCAGACTGTAAGAAAGATTTGAAGGCATCTAATTATGGTAAACGTATCAGTAAGAGCCATCTTCCTAACTGTGAATTGACATACCATATGCTGTAAAGGGAAGAAGGAGAGGTTACAGCAGCCAAAAATGTTCTTTTCTCAGATTTTCATCTTACAGTAAACTAAAGGCAGGTCTTGCTTCAAGGAAGGAGCAGTGTTGCTGATTTGTTTTATAACAAGCAACATCGAAGAGAAGCCTGCGTCGTCTCTTCAAAGGTGAAAGCAAGTCTCTAATGAAACTGGCTTCTTAAACTTTGCAGCATAGTCATAATTTCAGAATGCTCTATGTTCATAGTTTTAACATTTTTGCTTCCATGTTGCACTTAGCTGTATTAGAACATTCTGAGTTGATAGCAAAATTTGCAATATCAGAAAATGCGACAATTTTTGTTTCAAGTGTTATACTTGGAGTATTAATTAACATCAATGATTCATATTAATGAATGCTGAGTTGCACTTGATAATGATATACCTCTGAGTGAAACATGCACTTATAATGAAGTTATAATGACTGTTTGGAGAATGAAGTTTATATGCTTAAAATAATGCAAGTAAAATAGATGGTTTAATATTTATAACTACCAGGGTAAGTAGATTTTTATACTGCAGTAAGAAATTTTACAAAATAGGATATACAGCTGTTTCCAGTTGCTTGCCAGCTGTTTTAGGACATCAAGACTCGTGAACTATTATAAGTCAGACTGGATCAATACAATGATTTTTTTAAAGCCTGAAGTCTTTCTAGTTGGAGGAGGTGTATAAATAAGCACAGTTTTCGATGCGTAAGTCCAGAAGTATTCAATAAAACACTGTGATAACATTTGTTAAGAGCATTTTCTTTTAAGAAAACATCCTAAAAGTAGTCATTTCCTTGAAATGTTGTATCTGTTATCTGCAGATGCCCACTTACTTGTTCCTTTACCAGTGTGTTGTTTAAATTCACAACACTAGAGAATGTTTTGTGCAGCAGATAGATCTGTCTGAGCTTAAAATGACTTCCCCTGTTTGAGACAGCATTGATGTATTTTAGTACTGCAGATACACAGTAGAAAATGTTAGTTTGAGAATCAGGAATGATAGATGAAGTATTACAGGGTGGTGGGGTTTTTCTAATATGTCAGAGCATCTATGAATTTGCATGTATTTGTCTTTGCGGGCAACAACTTCTTATGGTGGGGTATGAAGCTGTCTTGCTGTGCCTTTTTTAATTACCAAAAGTTCTTGTTTTGGTAGTACTAGTGTTACATACATCCTTCTCAAGAACATACTTCCACATAGAAAACCAATTCCATTTAAAAAGATGCACTCTTACTTTTATTTAGGTGCTTGAGATGATATTTAATGAATGAGCATTCCCATACGTAGTTTCATTATGAACATTGGTGTGGCAAGGGATTATGCTAACTCTTCTGGGTGTGAATGTGCTGTTGCACTCCCAGCGCGTTACAGTCAATGGTGTAACTTGTCATACAAGTTTGAGTTCAGAAAATATATCTCCTGGAGCACTGCAAATTCTCTGACATACACATGATGTTATCCACATCATCTTCCACCTAAAGGAGCCTTCATTGGGACACTCAAACTGTACAGTGATCATTTTGGACTTATTAGGTATGCAGCACCGCTTATCCAAGCACACCCCACAGAAAGTTAGTTTGTAGTTTTGAGTGGTTGAGCATCCAGAGAAAACTAATTTCTCTGCTGTAGGAAGCTGGAATGTTGGTTGACATGTTTTCCCTTTTGGAATCTTTAATATAAAAAGAAAGAAAAGCCTGTGAGGTTTTAAACATTAAAAACAAAACATAAGAAAAAAATGGCAACATTTACAAAGAAAATATTTTCTGAGCACCAAGACAGCGCTAGCAGCGCTTAGATTTCAGGTCAATGTAACACTTGGTTTGAAATTACACATCTGTGGTTTACTATTGAAACCTGAAGACTGAAGGTAGAAAATGGAAGAGTTCTTTTAAAATCCTTTAAAAAAAAGTCAATATTAGTAGTAGTTATGAATACATCCATGACTCCATTACTTCCAATATTTTCATTTTCTATTAGGAAGCCATTTGATATTAGAAAATACCTTTATTGTCTTCAATGTATTGGTCAGACAAGGCTGGATGAAGCATAACCTCTTCTCTTTTTTCATTTCACATTTGCTGTTTTCATTGGTCACTCTGCTGGATATGCCTATGCCACAGGTCCTAGAACACGGTGTCCAGGGAGTCGCCTGCACCAGGCACTTTCTCTTCAACACTAATGGTAAGCTTCTGTAAGCTAAGAGCAATACATTATATATGTAGCAGAACAGCCTCAGGATTGTGAAATTGCACATGTTGTTTGACCCTCCAGTTTAATGTGATGGACATGTTACATGGAGAGAGTTATTTGTGAAATCTTTATGAAACATCCAGAATGGAAGAGACATTGAAAATTAAAGCCAAGCATAGCTTGAAAAGGAGTGCTGAAAACATCAGTGTTGGTTTCTTTGTAGATACTGTGAGGGCTTTAGCTTTTTTTATTGAGGTATAAAATTCTCTAGTCGCTTACAGATATCACCAAAAAGCCTATTTCCTGATGGATTAGGGCCGGAGGAGAAGGAGTATGCTTAAAAAAACCTGTGGTGGAAAAGTTAACGGTGAAACTGAAGCACCCACCTGACTGTGGAATCTGTGTATTTAGGCAAGAGCATGGGCAGAATTACAATGCTACCTGGGAAGGATACTGCAATTTAAAGATCTCATTGCAGCAAGCAGATTAAAAACCTTTCAGAGATCTGCAACAAAGGGAAGTTCAGTGGTCATTTATACTTGTCACATGTTTTTTAAATATGACTTGGGCACATCCCTGTGTGTCTGAAAGAGGTAAATCAAATTCACCAGGAAAGCCAGAAAACAGAGCAAGAGCAGTAAAGCAAAACTTAGCACTCGTTAGCCACACTAACAGAAAAAAGACTCTTCAAAATATGTATCAGCCTATTGAGCCACTCATAGCTGACATGATTACTTCTGCTGCACTGGGAAGGGGCAGACCTCACTTTGAAACAAACCTTTCAAGATGCTTTTCTTCATAGGGTTTATATCACCTGAGGAATAGCATCCTTCGGCATGTACAGCCATCGCAGTGACAGGCTGTTGGGTCACCAAGCCAAGGCACATAGGAAGTATGCTTTGCAAGCTGGGTGGCTTTTCTCAAGATTGTGTTGCACAGCTCATTCAGATTCTAGAACAAATGCTGTGAGGTACGGTGTTGCAGCCAATGAAGGAGTTACTACAGGCTGGGATGCAGCTTTTGAAGTACTACAAAGTAAATGCCTCAGTCCTGTTCCCCAGATACCTGAAATACAGCTCCCCACAAACCCAATTAATATATTGCATGGGGTCAGATGGTTTGGTTGCCACTGTTTTCAAAGTTCTGTGTTTTCTCTTTGATCTGATTAGTGATGCTTTCTAGAAATGAAGTTCTTTGAAGTCAGTTGCCTCATGAAATGTGTGTTTGTACGCAGCATTAAGTAGGTTTCTGTAAAAAGGCTTTGATACGAATTATAGGTGTTGTATCGTAATTTTGAAGTAAAGATGAGCTGCTTTTTTGTTTTTGCTAACTTGCATAAGTACTGCTAACATGTTAGAAGTTTTCAAAACTGAACTTTGGATTTTGTAAGCGGGTCTATTTATCTGAAGATTGACTTAGGTGCCTCCACCTATTTACTTAGCTGCCTTTTATGAAGGTTTTCTGATCAGCTTTGCAATCCTTTTATTTTATTGATTCAGGGTGATGATTCAGGCCCTAATTTCCCCACAATTCAACCTGCCACCAAATAAATGGCTCAGCTTTCTGGTACCCACAGTAGTTGTAACAGAGATGAGTTTCACTGTGGAAACTTGCACATGCACAGGGAAAGAGCACAAGCAAAGGCAGCTGTGGCCAGGCACGGGCCAGGATAGATGCTCCTGGTAATGCTGCTTCCTTAAGTGAAAAGGAGAACTACAGTGTTACCAGCAGAGTGACAATGAGGTTAAAGAGAATATCAGCGGACCCTGGCAGAACTTTATGAGTAAGCTCTTGTTAGTTTTTGGTCAGACTGAATCAAGAGGAAATTGAGGGGAGCATTGTCCTTCCAGCAGCCTCAAATCTTGTGAATTCAGGAAAGCCACTGAGGCACTTTTTACAATTTTCTGCTTTTTATTGAAAGAGGCCTCCAACATGTTAGTGTATGTATGTGAAAACCAGGACAAAGCAGGAGAAAGCGAGACAGCTCCTAGGCTGTGAAATGGCTGTCCACCAGCAGCCCTAATTGGTCTGATCTGATGAGCAGTAAACTTCTGCAGAAAGATGGGCTGGAGGTAGCTTTGGCCAATTCACTGGTGACAGAAGCCAAAAGGCTTTTTTGCTTTGCATATTCATTGGGTTTAGAGAAAAGAGTCTGTGACCTAAGAGTAAGAGGGGTAATTGGGACAGACAAGTCATCCTGGCAATGGCCTTCAGCAAGAACTGGGAAATTGCCAGTGTGCTGCCTGCCTGGCTGCTTGAGCCACGGACACTAAATGCAGCAAGGCTTATGTGCAGAAACTTTTACCAGTGTAGCCAGGCACACCTGACATCAGTCTGTAGTTTGTTGCTTGAAGCTGCTTGTGCTGTCCTGGGCCACAGATGGGTTGTCCAGGCTTCTTTCTGCCCGTGACCCTGCCGCAGGGACTTGCTGCTAATCTTGGTATGAATACAGGTGTACATCCAATTGCACCACTGATGCACAGGCACTTATAAAGTGGGTTAGGTTGGAAGGTCTGGCCGTTAAGATAATAAACTCCATTGAGCTCACATCCCACAGCTATCAGATCTGCAAATGGTAAACAACAGTTACTAACACAGGAGGAGCACATGGCTCCTGATTACAGAGTGGGAAAGCCTTTACTGTACCCACAAGTTCTTCCCAACACAAGCACACATTTCTTTATTTGTGCCCTGTGATAACTTACAGACACCTAGCTTTGAATCAGTCATCAACATGCTTGCAAGTAACAGGCTTGTGCACAGTGAACTGATTTCACTAATGCATATACAGGTATGCCTAAAGACAGCCCCAGCCCTACTCTCAGATCCCTTGACTGAGCAGTCAAAGGATTAAACGAGGCTAAATTGCCCAGCACAGAGCTGTGCAGCACCAGCAAGTAAGAGTTTTCCTCCAAAAGCACCTGTGTGGTCCCACCCTCCTGGATTTCAAGAAGGGAACATGGAAGAACAACTTACATGCACACACGCCTGTTTCATACCTAGGCTCGTCTTCCGAGTAGTTGCAGTAGAGGCCTTTGTGGGGATCACACACATCTGCTTCATTGCAGGTCTCTCCTGACTGCTTGGCACAGATCTTACAGCAGCCACAACCATCCTTCACCAAGCTTATTCCAGGGGTGCAGGTTGGCACCGGAGGGCATCTGCATGGCCAGTGGCAGACTTCCTTGCGCTGGTGGGTTTCACCAGTTTCTGAAGGTTTCTCTCCAGGCTTCACTGGTGGGCTGTGGAAAAACTTACACACAGTGGGATATTTTGAGAGGCCACTGCATTATGCATAGGTGAGATGGCATAAAACAAAGTTGGGATGGACAAAACTCTGATGTTGCATGAAGACACTCAACGTTTCTCATCTCACAGGATCCAAAAGTGAGAAGCTGTGAGGTTTAGGTAGGAGACAGAGGACCAGTTTCATTGGTCACTGTCATTCATTGA